AAATCGTAATAAGAAAGACTTCTGGGAAGATATTGCGAATGAAATTAACCGAGTAAATAATACTAATTACTTCACTGGGGGAGATTGTAATAAGAAATTTTTAACTCTAACCCGAGCATACTATGTAAGTGCATTCAAAGCATTTGATATGATTATTTTACCCGGCTCTGATCTGATATCTTTGGTTAAATATAGACGACTAAGGCCTATAAAGAAGCTATGGCAGGTGCTAAGGCGGGGGTAAAAAGAAGAAGAGAAGTCTTATTGGAGAACATTATTACGAAGAGTTCTCTACAGAATTTTGGAAAGAATCCGGTATTTATTTTGTGATATTCTTCTTCGCGCTTGCGCTGTCATGTGTATGTAAAGATAAAAGATATACCCCTAAAATGCTTATTGTTTCTAGGAACACAACGTCCCAATGTAGCTAATGTAGGAACAACATCATCTAACACGCCGAGTAGAAGACAACCATCAAGAATTCCTCGAGCAATTCCTTCTCCTAATAGATCGCGTCCAACAACACCCTCTATATCAAGACCACCTTCTTCTGGTTCTAGACCTGTGACACCATCCTTTTCTCAAAGCGCTGAAACGATTAATATTTATATTAATTATAATGAGCCAGACGATCAAGAGTGATTTTATAGTTTGCTATTCTGTTTTGTATTTTTTCATGACTGTAAGTGCGATGCAGTAGAATGCGAAAGCTGTAATTAATAAACATCAATATCACTTGTAAAACACGAAACATGTTTAAAAAACTCAAAGTACAATCTTTATTATATTTTTGTAAAGTAATATATGAGAAAGAGCCGGCCGGCTAAGTAAAAATGAAAGTAATAAAAGATATTGGAGTAGATCACGTTTAAAGGGAGGAATCACGCCGGCCTTTTGAAGTTTAGTGTAAAATATTAATGGTAAAATTAACTTTGGATGTTGCTAAGGAGATTGCACGTAGTAGAGGAGGTGAATGCATCTCTGAAAGTTATATCAATTGTCAGATGCCAATGTTTTGGAAATGTGCTAAGGATCATTTGTGGTCTGCAAGACTTAGTAGTGTGAAGAATGAAAATACATGGTGCCCACGGTGCGCAGTTGAAAATCGTCGTACTCGAACAATTGAAGATATGAAGAAGTTTGCAGAAAAGAAAGGAGGCTTTTGCCTTACAACTGAGTATGTTAATAGAAGGGATCCTCTTGAATGGCAGTGTAAAGAAGGACATAAGTGGAAGGCTTCGGCAAAAGATATTCTTAAAGGAACTTGGTGTCGAAGGTGCAGTATACTAGGTCGAAAACATGATGAAAAACCTATCCCGGTACAAAGACATGATCATGTTACACATCAACCTATTGATATAGCAAATAGTATTGCACAAGAACGAGGTGGTAAGTGCCTTTCTATAGAATATGTTAATGCAAATACTCAAATGCTTTGGAGATGTGCCAAAGGTCATGAATGGTCTACAACTCTTTATCGAATAAAAAATATGGGAAGATGGTGCTCAGAATGTGCTGGTAATTTTCCCTGTGGTCTTTCGGAAGCTAAGGAAATCGCTCATAGTAAAGGAGGTATGTGTCTTTCTACAGAATATATAAATCTCTGTGTTCCGATGCAATGGATGTGTAATAAAGGTCATAAATGGTTTGCTAGTTTTAATAGTATTAAGCATGTTAAATCTTGGTGTCCATATTGCTTAAATAAGCATGAAAATCTGTGTCGCGAAATCATAACTAACATTCTTGGCCCACCTTCCAGCATCCGCCGACCAGATTTCTTGAAAATACCTGAACATCCTCGAGGACTAGAACTTGACATCTATTATCCACAGTATGGATTTGCTATAGAAGTACAAGGTAAACAGCATGAGCAACATATAAAGTATTTTCACAAAGATCCAGAAGAATTTCAAAAGCAGTTGATGCGTGATCAGATCAAAAAAGAACTTTGTGAAGAAAATTACATTGCTCTAAGATATGTTTGGTATTACGAGGATCCATACGTAGTCATTCCAAATCATCTTCGAGAGTTGGGCCTCATTGAATAAACTCAAAATTTTAAATGTTTCAGTGATTCACCGATTTTTTCGACTATATTTTTATTCATCCAGAATTATACGAATAAAAATCTTTCCGATACACATACTATTTTCACTTGTCTAAACTATCTATTCTAACACCCATGATCCAGTTTCATATGTCCCAATTAGTCATAGATATTTTGGATAAAATAAAACTGTCATCTACTTTCATGGATAAGCTCAGAAGTGGCACGTGTGCCAAGCCACCCGGTGACAACTAATGTGTCTCGCCTGTCTCGACCAGTAATTTATCCTTGTGTAATTCGATTTACAAAACATCTTCCATATTTATCAAAAAGTAGAAAATAAATAAGCAGAATGTCGAAAAAAAAGACAATGTTGCAAGAGAAAGAATTTTATAGTAAAGTGTGTGTTGCTGGAAGCATCAAATTTGTCGTTGGCGAAGCAACTGAAGAAAACATTCAACTGTCGGACCTAGACAAATTCTCTTGTAATCTAGCGACCATACTAGCAAGAGACAAAGAAGTGGTGGCAGTAAACCTGAAAACTTTACCCAACAAATGCAAAGTTTACATCGCTAAGAACAATGCTTGGAGTGTTGAAGATCTTGCTTATCTCAACAAAGTTAAAGAAACCCTGATAAATGTGTCTAATGATGCTCCCATGACATTCAAACAGGCACTTGATAGAAATGATGTGAAAGATCTATACGGTACTATAATGAAGTATTGTTCTAAAAAGCTCGAATCTAGATTGAAAAAACTTAGGAATGATATAGTCAATGAGGAAGGCAAGATAGACGATGAATATATTCAGTCTTTCTTAGATTATGCTAAAAATAAAAAAATCAACGCTGATGATATATATAATGATAAGAAAAAATCCGCTATATCTAGGGTTTGTAGCGAGTATTATCATACAGCAAAAAGTGATCCTACATTTCCGAAAAAATTTCTAGGACATATCAAAAAGGTGGGGTCTTATATTGGGTCTTTGATGAATATCACAAACTGCGTATGTAAAGATAAGTACAAAAACTTATTTTCTAGTATAGATATGAATTTATTAGATCCTATTCATGCCGATCAACCCATATCTTCATGGAAGGATGTTGTCCAAAAATTTTTTCATGCTCAAGAAAAAGGATATAATAATTTCAAGAAAACATGTTTAAAAGATTATGTGATAAGGAGTAAACTGGAAGTGATATATGGTGGTGTAGGTAAGCAACTGGAATGTGAAAATGTTAGTCACATATATTTACACGCGGAATTGAATGTATTGACCAAAATAATGAATATTGATAAGGAAAGGAAATTTATAGCAGTTTCTAAGAGATGCTGTTATTTATGTGAATCGTATATCAGATTTGCACAATCCAAAGGACATAATATTGCCTTCTCTGGATCACACAAAAAATTATATCATGGATGGAAACTTCCAGATACCTTCAAGAAAGAATTTATGTCAGATGCTCTATTTGAACTCGATCAGATCATAGAGCGTGAAATAGAAAGTCATACTAGTACAAGTGCTAATTCTGATAGTGGTGCAGAAAGTGGATCGGATAATCTAAACTATGATGGTATTGAATTTGTTGATACTTTGGATGATACCTTCGATTTTTAAAAAGATAAGTAAAAAAGCATAGTTAAGTTTCTATTGTAAGAATAAGGGAAATATTTTATCAATAAAGTATAACACTTGGCATACATACACATTTAAAAAATTTGAAGTGAAACTTTATTTTGTGAATAAATATATCATTTAAAGAACCGAACAAAGTTAAACTAATAAAATTTTGGAATAGTAGTCGTTTAAAGGGAGGAAGCATCTCGAGCCCTAACCCATGAGATGAGAGTTCCTTTCCACTACTCCGAATTACTACCTAAGTTATCATTATTTTTAATAAACCAAGTACTGATAAGCCCATCCTCCTTTTTAACATTAATCTATAAAAATTCTAAAACTTTGTTCTTAATTTTCCGCCTAATGCACGAATTTCCATCACTACATGAAAAGAATCTGAGTCTGTTATCAGCAAGATATAATAAAAGACATGAGTTATAGTGGCATATTTTATTTCGCCTTATCAAAGAACTTCCCGAAAGGCTTGCATGTGAAGCTTCGGGATTGGCCACGCTTTGTTGATCAAATTCATTTATAATGTTGGATCATTTCATTTCGGATAGCTTCGATAGAGGCATTGAATTCAGATGAAATTTTGCCAAATTCATTACGGCAGGTTTCTTCAATATTATCAAGTCTTGTGGTCACATTATTGACCATCGATAAAAGTTTCTGCGCCTCAGAGGCATATCCAGCATCACGTGAATTGATTTTTAGCGATTTCTCCGGTAAGTTTCTTATTAAGTTCATTATTGAATCTACCGAGCTCCGCAGTGAAAGAAGAATTAACTTCAGAAAGACGTGCGGAAAGTTCATTGGTGATTTTAGTATTGATTTCCGCGGTAAGTTTACTGAAGATGTTTTCGATTTCCGGTGTATTATTTTTTGTATGAAGATCATTGACGATTCTAGTGACACGTGCAGAAAGTTCATCGGAAATTTTTTGTTTGAGATTTGACCACATGGTAGCGATCCCTATGATTAACACTGGACCAATGAACAAAAAAACAGCGGTTAAGGTCAAAAAAGGCATGACCCCCGAAGAGTCAAACTGGACATGATTAGGCGTAGTAATTTTATTAAGAGATCTTATTGGTGGATCAAGTTTTTTAGATAATATCGCTTGATTTTTTTAATAGCAATAGTTATCTTGCGTAAATGCGCTGGGAGAAAGGTTTATTTTATACTATATGCTTACTACACATGAAAAGAGAATTTAACCCGATTTAATAAAAATTAGCCGTTAAGGCGCTTCGCATGTTGCTTTATTAATTATTATGTGTATTTGTCATAACTACATTTTTCATAATTACGTTGCTCGTAGATGCCTGATTGTTGGAATAACAATACATGACGCATTAACAGTGTGAAATCGGCATTATGAATACTAATAAAGTACCGAGGAATTTTCTAAGATCATCTTTCGATCTGCGGGTGGGCTTACACCGCTAGTATTTCTTTTTTCGAATTAATGAGAAAAAAAAGGTAACCCCTATTCGTGCTCCATACAAATCTACTAACAACCGTAAATGGAAATTTGTTTTATTATATAGAATGTGGCCAGAGGCATCCCCCTTACATTTTATAGGATCTAGATCTGTAAATCGGTAGATTAAGAGGCGCAATTTCCATTCTTGTCCCATTCTAACAACAGGGACACCAATTCAAAGATTCGTAATATATGTATCATACCAGAACTTTCCAGAAATAAGTTGACGGATTAATTATTCATTGATCTAACCCACAGGAGGTGACGTACTTACTGTGCATTTTGCAGATAGCCGAAATCAAATCTTAGAAATAAACGGTAAATTCTTGCCGAATTAATAAGATCTTCTGCAACACGTGGGTTGAGTTCACAGCCCGCCCCTATTTCAATTGTAATCACAAAAAAAGAATATCATGGATCGAGATCTGTAGATGACGAATCACACATGTATTACTAATTCCTATTCAAAGACGGAATAATATATGATTAGTCTATATGCGTAATTTGAATGCGCTAACGTCAGTAAGATAATAAAAATATACCGTTTATCGCGCTTGCGCTGAAGATCTGAAAATCATATATTCTAGAATTTCTTTTTTAACAACGCCCTGTCTTACGATCCGCAAAATGTAAATCAGAGATGTGTTTTTTTATTAGTAATTCAGAACTGCGTAATGAGTGAGATAGAACATTGGGGAAAGTCCATCAGTATGTCATTGCTCTTGGTCGGGGTTATTAATAGCAGATGCTAGTGACGTACTACTGCGTATAGAATATTCTGCGGATGTGAACCAGTGACGTATTACTGCGGAGAAGAATAAATGACGTTTTACTGTGCACCTAAGCCACCCACGTGATTCGAAAAAAAAAGAAATACATAATTCACTTAATGATTCGCCCAATAATTCTTCTAGGCGGTTACCGGAGAGATGGTGGGACTCATTACTGACTAAGGTACGAGATCATCAAATATCATGAACTTCCATGAGTATTTTATCATGTGTTTAGTGACGTACATATTTTCGCCTGATGCTGGGTATTTACTACAGTGCGGAGCGACCATAGACGAGAGAAGCTAAATAACCTAAATTGAAGATAAGGTATTTTGGTATATTATCGTCATGGAACAAACCTATTCTGACACTAGTGCTGGTGATAAAATTGAGGTATACGAATTCTTGGAGGCTTTGGGATTATTAGATAATGAAGTCTCGCCCGTTAACATGGATGATGACGACAATAACGAATCTGACATCGACGAAGAAGATAGTGATGATGATCAGGACAATTATTGGGACCCTAGGAAAAGATATACCGGATGGGATTATAAAAGACGTTTTGGTGAAGATGCTTTGAAAAAACTTTATCAAACCCGGGAAGCTCGTCATCGGAACATTGTACTCATGGAATTTACCAGATGTCTTCCAAACATATCTGATCGAGAAAAAAATAGATTATTCGATGCATTCTCTAGGTCTAATGCATTTGGGGTGAAAGAACATAATGCACTCTTAGATGCGTTAGCCGATCCCGTGAAAGGTTGGGATCTTAACAATTATTGAATGGATAATTCTCCCAGCAGATTATGCATTGCCTGTGACGCAATTACTTATATCTGTGGATAAAGGAGATCGAACTCCTTAATTTTTTGTATCCTATTAGGGATAACGATTATTTCCGGCTTTTCGTCATAAGCAAAATGTTGTCAAGAAATTTTTTATTAATGATATATACAAAAATAATACAAAGGTTGGGAACTGAACCGTGATACATATTATTTTTTGATAATTTTTTTGATTCTAGCCCTCTTGCTAGCTGGGGAACTATCAACACTAACCCGATCCTTCAACAACCTAACAATTATACCTATTACCCTTTTCATGTTGCTTCGAAGTAATTCGGGATTATCTTTAACTGCGGACTTCGTGAGATTAATTTGGTATTCGCTTCCACTCGTAGAGTATATACCATCAGGAGTATATATGATAAAATGCCACTCTGTACCTGTGGTCACAATACCATAGATATAGTCGAAATAGTCATTCCCAAACGCTTGATCCGCGGTTCATTTCTTTTTGTTGGTCTGGAATGCACTTTCAAGTTGCGCCAGATTCTGAAGAAAAAATAAAATGCTATTAATACTATTGAATCTTCTATAAAGCATTAACGGATAGTAAATTTACCTGCGCATATCCGATTTAATATTACGTGGTTTTTCTTCGGTAATGCAAAGAAGGTCTTCTAGACTTTTGATTGCGTAGTCCACCCGGCCTGTTGCATCCTCACCGGATATATCTTTTTGTAAAACTATAAATATGTCTTGAGAGGTGAGATTTTTAGCTATCGCGATAGATGCGTGTAATATTGCTGAAATAAATTCACAGCGCGTCACCTCGTTAGCATCAGTCATGGTTTCCACGTTCGAAAGTTTCAAGATGATATCCTCCATACAGTGAATGAGCGCCTTATCATCGTCATTGATTTCCTCGAAGACTACAGAGAATAAAATAAGTTATTATATGATCTCTAATCTGAAAAAATTAAGAATAACCACCCACCAGGAGTAAATTGCTTGATGCTCGTTATATCTTCTCCATTAACTTTATTTCTACGTAACATTTCCTTCAGATCATCAAGAGTTTTAAGCGAGGAATAGTTTCGTAGCTTCTGGCTGAGACCTTCAATGAATTCTGTAAGCCTTGTTGTTGGACCTAACGCGAAACCAATACTACGAAAGTTCTCTTTAGTTAACTTGAGAAAGTCAGAGCCAGCAATTTTCTCTTTACGAAGTATTTTCATATCATCTTTATCGAGTTTTAAGTTTTTCCTCCCCAAATAGTCGATAAGCTCCTCTGTATTAAAATCCTTAACTACGTCCGACATTGTTCTAGTGGATATTTCTTCCGTTATTGAGGCGGGTGAAGCGGGTGAAGAAGCTTGTGAAGACATGGTTTTTATATATGTGAGTTTG